AAACCTATGGGATACAGCAAAGGCGGTCCTAAGGGGGAAATACATAGCCATCCAAGCCTCCATCAAAAAAAATTGAAAAATCCAGAATACACCAGCTGTCTCTACACCTTAAAGAACTGGAGAATCAACAACAAATCAAACCAACTCCACACATAAGAAGGGAAATAATCAAGATTAGAGCAGAGATCAATAAGGTAGAAACCAGAGATACAGTAGAACGTATCAATGAAACTAGAAGCTGGTTTTTTAAAAGAATCAATAAGATCGATAAACCATTGGCCACACTAATCCAAAAGAAAAGAGAGAAAGCCCAAATTCATAAAATTATGAATGAAAAGGGAGAGATCACAACTAACACCAAGTAAGTAGAAACAATCATCAGAAGTTATTATCAACAGTTATATGCCAATAAACTAAGCAACCCAGATGAAATGGATGCATTCCTGAAAAACTATAAACTCCCAAGATTGAACCAGGAAGAAATTGACAACCTGAATAGACCGATATCTAGTAACGAGATTGAAGCAGTGATCAAAAACCTCCCAAAAAAAACAAGAGCCCAGGACCTGATGGATTCCCTGGGGAATTCTACCAAACTTTCAAAGAAGAAATAACACCGATTCTCCTGAAGCTGTTTCAAAAAATTGAAGCAGAAGGAAAACTTCCAGACTCTTTCTATGAAGCCAGCATTACCCTGATCCCCAAACCAGGCAAAGACCCTACCAAAAAGGAGAATTTCAGACCAATATCACTGATGAATATGGATGCTAAGATTCTCAACAAGATCCTAGCAAACAGGATCCAACAGCACATTAAAAAGATTATCCACCATGACCAGGTGGGATTCCTCCCTGGGCTACAAGGATGGTTCAACATTCGCGAATCAATCAATGTGATAGAACAAATTAATAAGAGAAGAGAGAAGAACCACATGGTCCTCTCAATTGATGCAGAAAAAGCATTTGACAAAATCCAGCATCCGTTCCTGATTAAAACGCTTCAAAGTATAGGGATAGAGGGAACATTCCTGAACTTCATAAAATCTATCTATGAAAGACCCACAGCAAATATCATCCTCAATGGGAAAAAGTTTGCAGCCTTCCCGTTGAGATCAGGAACACGACAAGGATGCCCACTCTCACCACTCTTGTTCAACATAGTATTAGAAGTCCTAGCAACAGCAATCAGACAACAAAGAGAAATAAAAGGTATCCAAATTGGCAATGAAGAAGTCAAACTCTCTCTCTTCGCAGATGACATGATTCTTTATATGGAAAGCCCAAAAGACTCCACCCCGAAACTACTAGAACTCATACAACAATTCAGCAACGTGGCAGGAAATAAATAAAATCTTTTAAAAAAAGAAAAGAATATTATGGCTCCATCAGGAAGGATGAATACCCAACTTTTCATCAACATGGAAGGGACTGGAGGAGATTATGCTGAGTGAAATAAGTGAAGCAGAGAGAGTCAATTATCATATGGTTTCACTTACTTGTGGAGCATAAGAAATAACACAGAGGACATTGGGATTTGGAGAGGAGAAGTGAGTTGGGAGAAATCGGAGGGGGGGACGAACCATGAGAGACTGTGGACTCTGAGAAACAAACTGAGGGTTTTGGAGGGGAGGAAGGTGGGGGGTTGAGTGAGCCTGGTGGTAGGTATTAAGGAGGGCACGTATTGCATGGGGCACTGGGTGTGGTGCATAAATGAGTCTTGGAACATTGAAAAAAATTAAAATTTAAAAAACATAACATTTTATGTGTCAATTATATCTCATAAAGATAATTTTTTAAAAAAAGAAAAAAAAAAGAAACTACCGAAATGAAACACAGAGAGAAAAAATAGCTAAAAAAGGAACAGAGCATCGGTGAGTTGAGACAAACTTCAATGAGCCTAACATACATGTAATGTTAGGCTCTGCATAAGAAGGGAAGGGGGTGGCGTAAAGAATACTCAAGGGGGTGGGTGGCTCAGTCAATTAAGCATCCAACTCTTGGTTTCAGCTCAGATCAGGATTTCAGGGTGGTGAGATCAAGCTCCGCATCAGGCTCGGTGCTCAGTGCACAGTCTGCTTGAGATTCTCTCCCTCCCTCTGCCCCTCACCCTGCATGCGTGCTCTCTCTCTCTCTCTCTCTCTCTCTCTCTCAAATAAAGAAAAAAATCTTCTAAAAACTATTTGAGGAAATGATGGCTGAAAAATTTCCAGGTTTGCAGAAGTCAATTGTTAATGTCTAAAATGGGGGGGGATAGCAATATAAGGATGTTATTTAGAAATGTAAAGGCCATGCCAACAGAAATACTTAACAGAGCTGAAACTTCTTGGCTTTGCTGGGAAGGTGTATACTGTGGCACTAAACTCCCTAGGTTTGATTTCTGCCTCTATCCTTTACTAGTTGGGTCATGTTAGGCAAGTCACATAACCTCTCTGAGCCTCATTCTCTCACTTGTAAAATGGGGATAATAATAGCATCTATCTCATAAGGGTTTTTTTTGTGAGGATTAAATGTGTTAACACTTGCAGGGGCTTAGACTAATGCTCAACACAGAATCAATGCTCAATATTGTTCTTATTGGAGAACAGAAATCAGCAGTGAGGAGATTGCTCTTTCTTGCAATATGACTATTAGTAATATTTGATATTTTAAACTATGCACAAGTATTACTTTAATATAAATAACTTCTAATGTTGAAGAAGAGTAAGTCAGAGGTGAGGACATGGCACTGTCTTTGAAAAAGTTTGCTATGCAGGAAAGAGATGGATACAGCAATAGCTAGAGGGGGTATAAGGGAAGAGAAAGTTGTGGGTGTTCTATTTTTTAGATAGGAGAGACATGAGTGGGTTTAAAGGTGGATATGAAGTCAACTAGAGAAATGGAAAAACTGAAGCTATGGGAAAAAAGGGAAGCATGTGGCCAAAACACAAATAATACAATATAATCAAAAGGGAGGGGTGCCTAGGTGGCTCAGTCAGTTAATCGTCAGACTCTTGATTTCAGCAGGTCTTGATCTCAGGATTGTGAGTTCAAGCCCCACCTTGGGCTCCACACCGGGCATGGAGCCTACTTAAAAAAACAAAAAAGGGAGTGGGGAGGCAAAAGTCATGGATGTGGATGTAGATATGCCCAGCAGTTTGGTTTGAGAAGCTGAGAACTTTGTCCTTTGTCCTTTCATACCTGCCACTCTTTAAAATAGGATGTGAAGTCATTTGCTGAGCATGAGGGGGAAGGTGGCAGGGTTGGAATTTTTGAGTTGAATACAGAACACTTGAAATAGTCATTAGGCAGACAAAGCAAAAAGAAAGCTGATCAAGGCGACACAGAAGGATTTCGGGGCCCCAGTGAGATTAGAAGCCATAAATGTGTGGTGTGATAATATCAACCTCTTTGGTTATGTGGTTTTCTCTAGCTGGGTTCTGCAACTCAAATACAGACATGGAAAATGTGGGAAGAGGGGGACCTGGGTGGCTCAGCCAGTTAAGCATCTGTCTTCAGCTTAGGTCATGATTCCCGGGTCCTGGGATTGAGTCCTGCATTGAGCTCCCTGCTCAGTGGGAAGCCCCTCTCCTCCCTGCTCATGCTCTCTCTCACTATCTGTGTCTCCCAAATAAATAAATAAAATATTTTTAAAAAGAAAACAGAAAGAGCTGGGCTGGTTCAGGGTTGGGGATTCGATCAGGTTGGTGTGATAAAAAGACCAGGGAAGTGGGTACATTGCAACAAGAGTGAGCAGCTGACGTGAGAAATCACAGAGCCTCAACAGACCAAAGAAAGAAGTAAAGACAGTAGGTAGCTGATAGGTAGCAGTCGGGTCTTAGGGATCCTGATGAAGTTCAAGAATAGAGACTCTGGAAGAAAACCAATCAACTTTAAGTACAGAGGTTGTAGCTAGAACACAGGGTGGGTGTTAATTTATGATTTCAGTGTAATTCTGACTGGTGGAAAGGTTCAGCATGGGAGCCATGGAAGCAGGTAGATGAAGGGGAGCAGAGGTGAGGGTCACTGGAGGAGGGGATGGCAAGGAGCCCATTAGATGGGGTCAGCCATGTGGAAGCCAGGGTCACCCGGAATGATGGCAGAAGCAGTAAGAAGGAATACTGTGTACGTGGAGCCAAAGCCTTAGTAAATGAGAGACAGAGAAGGAGGCCAAATTTGCCTAATACGTTTCTGTAGCCCCTTAAAGCCTCGGTGACTCTACTGAGCAATGTTCCACTTTAGACTAAGGATTCTTTGCACATGGTATATAGATGGCCTTCGAAGGACCCATGAGTCCTCTGGAATCACATGCAAAATTCTACGTGTATATATCTAACATGCATTCCCCCCTTAGGAGAGGGCTCAGGACATTCATCACATTTTCAAGGGGATGACTGATTAAAAACAAAAGCCTAAGAATTACTGCTCTATCCATCTGTGTGAGAGATAACTAAATGAAAGGAATAAAAATTGCACAAAGACTCAGAGAGGGCACACACCTATCCCTGTGGCCAAAAGTCTCTCTGCCCCTATGCTAACACCAACCTAGACCTAACACCAACTCCAACACATTGGGACACCTGGGTGGCTCAGTCAGTTGGGCATCTGCCTTTGGCTCAGGTCATGATCCCAGGGTCCTGGAATCGAGCTCTGCATGGGCTCCCTGCTCAGCGGGGAGTCTGCTTCCCCCCCTGCCTCTTCCCCTGCCTGTGTTCCCTCCCCCCCTCTCTCTGACAAGGAGATAAAATCTTAAAAAAAAAAAAAAGAGAACTCCAACACTGAGTGGGCAGCAGAGAGCTGGGGCAGAGCCCTAGCTAGTTCCCTAGTTCCCTAGGGAATGTGGCTGGCTGTGCACTGGAAGAAGGGGTGAAGCTACCCAGAGGCTACCACTAAGGCTTTAGTAAAAGTATCTGGTAAGATCTTCGGGCAGCAGCTGCTATGTAGGTGCCCAAACAGAATTCAGTGACTTCCAGCTGCACCCTTTTCCTAAGAGCAGGCCTAGAGAAAAGAAGAGAAGGAGCTCACCTCTCGGCAATATTTTTTGCAGACTGGAGAAACCGGGCCTGGTCATTTTCTTTCAGGATATGTTCAGCCTGGTTGATGAGGACTGTTGAGCGCTCAAGACACTGGCGGCAATTAGCAACCTGCTGTGCCAACTTTCTCAGTTTCATAACCTTAAAGGAATGAGCAGAAGAAAAATGAGCTTCAACATCCAGGGCTTAATTAAAAACGATAAAACAACACGAAGAAGATCTGCTGCAGCGATGCTAAAAATAAGGCCTATTAATATCCCACGGTTCCTGTACTAACCACTCACCTTCTCACCCCACCGTCTATGTCTTGCCAGCCCCTCCTCCCACCTACAGCCCGCTTACTTAGGCTGCAACACACTCAGTCATACACTCTCGGTCATCTGCCTCCTCTTTTTCATGGACAAAAATGTTAATTTTTCTGATTAGAACAAGAGTGCATGCTCACAGTTGAGTATTTAGAAAATAAAAAGTATCAAAGGAAGCCCTGCCATCCAGGGATCTCCATCGACCCATTTTATGGTCGATATAGTTTCACAGCTGTGTTTAATAAAAAGTACTTCCTTGTTCTTTATGGCACTCTACCTTCCAAAGAATATCTTTCTCTCCGTATTATGAGCACCTGCGCATTCACAGATCTGTGTTCTCAGGAATTTCAGTTCCTGCGTTGGCTGGAACCACCCAGCATGGCACAAAGTATTGATCATCACCTCAGACTCTCATAATCCTCACACTGTATATCCGGCATGAGCTTATAATCACTATGCTGACCGGCAGACCAATATGCCTACAACCATATGGATGCATGGAGGCTCACACCTGTCCTTGACCCTGCTTCTTCAGTTCCTAGGCTAAAAACCTGGAAGTCTTCTCTTTCCCTTCATCTTTTACAGTGGAGCAGTCGAGGATTCCCATCATTTCCTTTCTAGTAATTCCTGTTCTGTCCTTTCCTTCCACTTGTGCTGACATTTCCCCCGTGTAGGTCTTCATCGACTCTTATCAAGAATCATTCCATAAGCCTCTTAGATTGCTTCCCCGACTTCAGTGTCATCCTGTTCGGATCCACCCTGGTTACTTCTGCCATATCGATCACTCTCTCCCTTCCTAAGAAACTAGGATGGCTTCCCAATGCCTTTGCGGATAAGCCCAAAATCCTTGTAATAGCACGCATGGTCCTTCCATAATTCTGGCCCACATTTCTACCATCGCTTTTTTTCTTTTTGGATTGACCTATAACATACCTACAGTAAAGCACCCACGTCTGGGTGGACAACTCAATGACTTTTTTTTTTTTTTTTGCATATACATACACCCATGTAACCATCAACCGGGTCAAGGTATAGAGCATTTCCAATACCCCAAAACTCATCATTTTTACCAGGTTTATAGCACTATAACATCGCTTCTTCTTTGCCTCCCTCCCTCTAACCCCATTTCTTCTTACTTTCATGATCCAAGTTCAAACTGGAATCATCGGGATGAAACTCTGACATTTGTAAAGTCAACTCTGCCTTGGCCTCACCGAAGAAGCTCCATGCTTTACCTTTGTCTCTTTGATTTTGACAGCGATCATTTGCTTCCTCTGCTGGATGATCTCTACCAGCTCATCACATTCTTCCATGAGTTTTGCCTCATGCATAGCAGTATTCACCTGCCAAGAAAGTCCAGAATATTACACAGTGATTGCTGCCTTTGTCCCTTGCTGGTTCTCAAAGGTTCAGATTGCCGCTAAGCATGCAGAACTTCTTCCATACCTCCCTCATAAGATCCACTCCTAGAAGAAGGGTAGAGATGATGATATTAATGATGCAAGGGCATTGAAGCACCACAGACAGGAAGCTCTCCGGCCTCTGGTAGATCATGATGGTTAATGGAAGGCTGGGCAGAAGGACAGATGAGATGGGGGCATGTTATTCCCACTGTACAATTCCCTTTACTCCAGCACCCTTTCCTCCTGTTGTTCTTTTGAAAAGAGGGTAAGGAGAATTAAGTATGTCAGGAAAAGAGGATCCCTCTCCACAGGCACAACAATATTAAGGTAACATTACAACAATCTATTTCTACCATCCTAAAAACGAAATGTTTTCAATTTTCCTTGTTCCCGTCTCATCCTAAAACATACAAATGCACAGCCATGAGTTCAGAGTAAATATACGCATGTGTATTTCGTAGAGTTGTCACGATGTCTTAGCAGATACTTCTCACCTTCGGCCATCCAGAATCTGAATACCTTTCCCATTTGGGAATACTGGCTACATCAAAATATCTCTACCACAAAGTCAGATTTGGGGGGACAAGGGTTGAAAAAAGAGCCACCATTTTTCACCGTTTTTCCATATACTGATTCCTCCTTCTTCCCATCTCTACTACTCTGGACATTAGATGGGAGGAAGCCCCTAGAAGGGCTAAAATGAGAGCAGGGATCTTTGGGTGGCCTAAGTATAAAGGCAAAGGAAGGGAGATGAACTTACATCTCTTAAGCACTCAGTGTTCCAAGCGCTTTCTAGATAAATTCTTTCATGTAATTACCATAAACCCTTCATAATAGAGGAGCCATTTTTGTTCCCGTTTCACAGATGGAGAAACTGAAGCTCAGAAAATTTGAGTGACTCACTCAAGATCACACAGCTATTGGTGGTAAGCCCAGCATTCACACCCGGTTCTGTCAAGTGAAACCCCAGGGCCGGCTGGGTGGGTGGACGAGGTTCAGTTCCATTTTGCAGTCACACAGGGAAGTACAATCATTCCAAGAGTCTATTCCAGGAGTGCTGGAGCAGAGCTCTAGAAAGCCGAGGAATAGACAATGAGTTCCTTGAGAGCATCCGAACTCCTGGGACGAGATAGGCTTCATTACCAAGGTAGGGCTGCATTTTCGATTGCTAGCCCCCTTCAGAGGATTCCTTTACATAATCTGAGCCAAGCAAAGTACTCATCACTGGACCCTGCTGCCTGTTCACTCATGCTCTGCTGGCCAATTTTCTGTTTCTTACTCAACTGAAATAAAATACATGTGTGGTGTCACCGCCTGATTTTGTTTTATTTCCAGTTGCTGGAGGGAATACCATAATGAGAGATCCCATTTATTGTGAGTCAACAGTCCCACTCTGGCCATTCGAGTTTTCCCCCATTCAGGCTGTTCACACTTTTCCTAAATTGGATCTACATTTCCAAGGCAGAGAACCTCACCCTCTCAAGAAACTCCCACTCCTGTGAGAAGAGATTCACCTAGTGTTCCCTGGTTGTGTGCTTAGAGTATCTGGAGACTTAGTTCCCGTAGTTTCCTTTCGAAGCTGAGGAAGGTGTAGTACACAATGGTGTAGTGGTCTGTTTCTTGCCATTTCGCCCTTGGGCTGACCTTTACATATCCTCACTATATGCCAGGCAGGACCCTAATCAGTTTACACATACTAGCCCTCTCAACCATCAAAGCAATCCTACGAGGCAGGTACCATCCCATTTTACAGATGGGAAAACTGAGCACAGAGGGACTAAAGGATTCACTCAAGGTCACAGAACTATTAAGTGGCAGAGATGGGATTTTGACCCAGGGAGTCTGACACTGGAGTCTACGCCTCTAACCATTGCACTAGACTGCCTCCACAGGCTAGTGTAACAAAGTTCCTCCAGTCTCTGACACCAGTTACTTCTTTTGCTCCATCCATCTTTATTCTGTCATCCCATTCTCTTTAGTCATTTCAAATCACTAGAATGCCCCACACTTGTGTGACCTGTGCCTTGGCTTGAGACTTCTTTCACTTGGAAAGCCATTTCCCTATTTGTTTATTGAACAAACGTCTACTTTTTCTTTCCAGGCCTTGCTCAAAACTCGTCACTTCTATAACTTTTACTCATCCACTTGGATGCAATTTGTCCCCTATTTATACCTTCATAGCACTTTCAATTTCATATTCAATTTCATATTTCAATTATACCACTTACTACCTTATGCCAGAGGAATTTACTAGTCTGTCTTCCCCACTCAAACATGAGTTCTGGAGGCCAGGGTTTGTGTCTTCTTTGACTGTCTCTCCAACATGGCGACTGGCATATGGCAGATGTTCAGTAAATATTTGTTGCATGGAATTGAATAGAGGTAGGGAGTATCTCACTGCTTGCTAGACATGTCCACTTGGTTACTCAAGTTACCCTAAACTCGGTATGTCTGAAAACAAACTCACCAGGCACCTGGGTGGCTCAGAGAGTTAAGCGCCTGCCTTTGGCTCAGGTCATGATCCCAGGGTCTTGGGATGGAATCCTGCATTGGGTTCTGCGCTCTGTGGGGAGCCTCCTTCTCCCTCTGCCTGCCGCTCCCCCTGCTTGTGCTTGTTCTGTGTGTGTGTGTGTGTGTGTGTGTGAGAGAGAGAGAGAGAGAGAGAGAGAGATACAAATAAAAATCTTTTTAAAAATTTAAATCATCATCTCACCTCTAAATCTGGCTTCCACCTCTGATTTCCTTTTTCTTTCTTTCTTTCTTTTTCTCTTTCTTTCTTTCTTTCTTTTTTGTTTTGTTTTGGCTAATGCTACTATCATTATTGAAGTTACTCAGGTTCAGTTACTTCTGATTTCTACCTTTCTCTCATTCTCCACATAAATTCACAGCAGTCCCAAAGTCCTGCCCCTCCTTTTCTTTTCAAACTCACTAAAATTCTGGCAATACAACAAGGCTCCCAGCCAAGGAATCAGTAAGTTGAAGTTCTTATCCCTTTTGGACTGTGACTGTAAAAGCCTTATTAATTCATTCCCCTCCCTCCAGAATCTTTCCTTAGCCACTCACCCTTAGAAGCCATCCTATACATACCCTGAAATCAGGAAAAATCATCCCCGTCTTCATCATCAAACATGTATTAAGCATCTTTTGTGTATAATGCATTATGCTCAGGCCCTGCTCTCCATAAATCTGCAATCTGAATGGGGAAAAGCCACATGCATACAAAACAAACTAGTCAAGGCAGCATACCAATGAGTGATGTAGAACATAATCTCCAGAAATTGAAGGGAGAGATCACTCACAGTGGGGAAGTGGAGAAAAGATGCCTGAATGAAGTGGGCCTTGAGCCATAAAGATGGGTAGGACTTTGATTTTAAAGGTAAAAGGGAGGGAAATTTTGAACCAAGCCAACGAAATTGAGCTTTATTTATTAGGCAATATGGCATCTTGGAAATATTTTTTTGGAGAGTAGGATGGTGAGAGAATGAATTTTTTAAAAATATATATATATATTTTTTAATTTGAGTATAGCTGACACACAATGTTGCATTAGTTTGAGGCGTACAATGCAATGGTTCAACAATTTTATGCTGTGCTCACAAGTGTAGCTACCGTCTGTCACCACTCAATGCTGTTACAATGCCACTGACTATATTCCCTATCCTGTACCCCTCATTCCCTGTGACTTATCCATTCCACAACTGGAAGTCTGTACCTCCCATTCCCTTTCACCCATGTACTCATTCTCCCACCCCCTCCCCTCATCTTCTGGCAACCATCAAGTTAACTTCATTTTTTGAGTTGAACTGGGATTGATTTGATTGGGGATAATGGTAAGCTGGGGGGGTGACTATGATTTAGGAAACTCTCGTGATGTCAACAGGACCTAGCCAAGAGAGTAACAGGAATCCAAAGGAAAGGTCAAATATGAGATACACTTCCTGGCTGGAAAATCTTCAATTCACAGCAAGGTCCTTGAAGAAAGTTTTTAAGTCACTTTGTTTCTCCTGCTGTAACAGGCACAATGCCTTACACACAACAAATATTTACTGATTGATTTAGTAAAATGAAAAAGCACAAAAAGAATGACAAACATTAGAAAATGGACTATAGTAAAGGCATTTTGTGGAGAAAATGTAGACGGAAGTGAGGGAGCTAGGGAGGGGTTTGGACAGTGAAATCAAACAGCCAGGCTCAAGTAGTAGAGCAGAAACTTGGCTGAAGAGGCAAAATCCCAAACTAAAGGTAAAGCAGTGACATTAAAATGTTCCCATGTCAAGAAGCAGCCCAAAAGAGCAGGTTCCTTGAGTAGTTTCTGAAAAGGAAATACTCCAGGGTAAAACTGTCTTCATGATGTGAATAAAACATCTCAAATTGCTTGGAAGGTACTTGAAAGCCCTGGTATTTTCCTTTTCTGCAGTTTTCCTTGAAAATGCACTGGAGTATTTCACTTGCTTATTAACCCTTAGTTGAAAACAACTGGGCTTATCTTGATAAGCATTTTTCGTTGGTTGGTTGGTTGGTTGGCAAAAGATTCCAGATCTTTATTCGGCCTTTGCTCTTTGGTTTGGGCTGGTGGGTTTGACAAGAAGGAAAAAAAAATCATCTGTGGAAAAATCTACCCTCTCCAAAAATTACCAGTAATCTTGGCAGCCTACTTGTATAAATCTCTCTATCCCCTAAAAAGGGCAATTTTTGCATGGGCGGGAAGCAGTTTCTGATGTCAAAGACTGAGTCTCAGCACTAGGGAGCCTCTCTTGTCAGGTCTCCAGGTCCTCTGCTCTGCTCTGTGCTCTTTTCTTTCTTCCCAAAGGCAGCAAGAATTTGACTGGCACGTTTTTCTCGAACCGCCCACCCTACCATCTCCCAAAGTTCCTTCCGACCTCCCAGCCCAAAGATTAAACCTACAGTCAGACCTATTCTTCCCCTAATTTCCTCCCTTC